CAGCTTTCGTCTACTTTCACGTTCTTCATCAGATTCAATGCCATCTTCAGTCGTTGAAGCTGCAGTGGCGGCTGCCAAATCAGCTTGAGCTGCTCGAATTCGCTTTTCACGTTCAGCTTTACGGCGTAAATCATCAGCTTCTTCGGCCAACTTTCTGTGCCTTTCAACTTCGTCTAAAATGACTCTTGCACCTCGCTTATTGGCTAATTCATTCGCAACATCAATTCCCAATTGACGTGCTTGTTGGAGCGAACAGATTTCTTGTCGTAGTGAGTATTCACAATGACGACTTCCATCGAGAGATACCACAGTAGCAGTCAAGGTTAGATGGACAGGCCTTTCTGGTTCACTCGCTCGGTCTTCTGGCGTCAATTTTTCTAAACTACCAGATGACTCAGGCATGTACTGTTGTGCCGGCGGAATCGCTCCTCCGAGGTCGTCATGTTTTCCATTGCGAACATCCTTCTCTGTTGCCAATCTTTTCAAAGGTGGGGGTTGATCGTCATTGCTTTTTTGATGCTCCTTACTCTGCTGTGAGCCCAAGGGGTATTGTTCGAATTGACTTGCTGGGATTGTATGTCCATTTTGTTTAATCGGTGCACGTTTAGCCTCCCGATCACCATTACCAATGTCTACCTGACGAATCGCCTCTCTTTCGTTGCGATCGCCTTCTACGACATCGTGATCATCAAATCGTGATTCAACACCAACGGGAATACTGCAGCCACCTTCCAGTTCTTGCAATAAGCTACGTTCAGCTTCTTGTCTCCATGTGGATCGCCAACAGCCAATGGATTTTACCATTTCTAGAATACGAGCATCACGATTTGTCAAAGGCGAAGCGCCAGGAGGAGGTTTGCGCACTTCGATCGTTAATGAACCTTGACCGACTGCATGCATCATCACAGGTGCGCTTAAAAAGGCAGTGATTCGTGAACCCATGTTCAAACGAATCAAACCAGCTGCTGCTAATACTAAAGCTGTATAAGGTCCATTTGGATTGTCCAGTTTTGCCAATCGGGTGATCAAGTTTCCACGCACATCACTGAAAACGAGATCGGGATACCGTCTGCGTAATTGAGCGACCCTACGGATTGAAGATGTACCAATCACGGAGCCTGGCGGTAATTCATCTAGAGTTTTATATGGTAGCCCTTCTTTGATGATAAGCGCATCACGAGGATCTTCTCTTTCCAATATTGCGCCTAACATCATTCCTTCAGGTAAGGTTGTAGGAACATCTTTCAAGCAATGCACGATCGCATCGACCGCCCCAGCAGCAAGAGCGACTTCCAATTCCTTTGTCCAAATTGCACGACCTTCGCCTCCGATGACATACAAAGGAGAAGTGTGATTTTGATCGCCTCCGGTTGACATGGAAGTGTAAGGGAATGAAAGTGAGCTTGTAATCCCAAGCTGTTTTGCTTTCTTTTGATGTTCAGCGATCAAGTCTTGATCATAGACGGGAGAAGGCGATAAAGGCGGAGTGATTTGACAATCGTCCTTCTTGACATCTTTAGAACGTTCTTTTGTTTGTGCAAAAGCAGGAGAATGCTTCCCGAAATGGGCAGAAAGCATTGCACTTACTTGCGAAGTCTGCACTAATGCCAATTGGCTATTTCTACTAGCGAGAACAAAAGTTGTATTCGGGTCAATGTCGGAAGTCGAACGTATCTGAGCATCTTTTAGGCGTTTAACGTCGTCCAATTGAATCGAAGCAGAACGTGAGATAGGTGGCGTTTGTGATAAATCCTCATGCGTTCGAAAGAATACACATTTTGCGCCCGTTGGCGGCTTTAATGTTGAAGCAGCGGCAAAAGGAGTAGGAGGATGCCCTGGCGGAAGAGGTTGATCGGGAGCATGTGCGACAGGGCATTGAGCGCCATCATTTGAATGATCCAAATTGGCGGAAACGGGAAGGTGATTCGTTGCACTTCCTTCCATTTTTAAAACGAATCAAGATTATTGCGTATACTTGTTGAAGAAAGATGCAAAGTAAAGGATGAATATATGCACTCGTTCGCCAAGAGTAAGTTTGAGGCGATGGTGATGAGAAGAAAAAAGATGATTAGGGTATTGCCGTGCAAATGCCGGCTCTAGCGCTAGTATGATAGACGCGCCGCCGCCAATCATTATGCTTGCATTACACCAACGGCCTGCCTGCCTGCACTTACTCACTCAATCACATGATAATCATCATCCAGCATACTGTGCAAATCATCATACATACCTCAAATTGTGGCAGTCAGCACCGTGAAAATTAGTCGAAAGGTCACCATTTACCTTTGAGAAAGGTTCCATAGCCAGCTCAAGGAGAATTTGGTCTTCTTTTCAGCTGTGAAAGATCGGATCTACAATTCGGCAGGGTAAAGAGCTTCTGGTTATCGCTCCAAGAAAACAATCATGATAATGTCGGCACCGGATTAGCTTCATCGGAATGCTTCGGACCAAGACTACGCGGCGCCTTCATTTTAAACTTGTTCATTTGGATCTTCCTTTCTTCTTTAAAGGCAAACGGAGCCTTGTTTTTTTTTTTCTCATTATTGCCATTTGGAGGCTATGTACATGAGGGCTGAAGTAGCCGTCCTTTTTTGATGATGAAATTGCAAAATGAGAACAAAGGAACGGCACCGTAATCGGTTTTCGCGTACGAGAATGAGACGATAATGAGACTTTTCTTGATGCGCGCAAAATCTCTTTCCTCTTCATTTTCACAACCATCCACAACTTTAACAAACGTCAACAAAGATTTCCTTCTCTCTATTCGTTTATTCTTTCACAAATCATCAAAAGATGGGAGGCAGCGCATGGAACGCTGACGATGAAGAGTTTCATTTGGATATTTGGGACAAAAGTATGATGCGTAAATCGGCAATTCGAATGGTTTTCAGTTCAGTTTGGTTAGGCATCTTTGCTGCTGTTGCAATCACTTTTGGCATCCTTTCAACAAGAGAACAAAGAAGAGGACCGGTATTCTTCATCCAATGTATCAGTTTCCCTTTAGCTATAACGTATAATTTGCAAGAGGCCATTATTGGATTTCATCGTTTTACCGGCACTTTTGCTTTTCCAGATGAATCGATTCACTATGAAACCTATTTACGTGTTCACGTTTTGGACATCAGCTTGGAGCATTTCATTCCTTTGATTTCCGATTTGGCCGTTTTATGCAAAATACGATCATTTTATCCGCATCCTTTATACTCTTTCCGTCAACAGACTTTGATCCTCTTGCCTTTTGTTAGCCTTTTAATTCCAAGGCTCGGTCTTAGCATAGCAAATACGTATGCCGTCTATCGTTCAGAATCATCGGTTGAATGGAGTCCCGATAAATCATTTCCGGGAATTTTAGGATTCAATTGGGTACCAATGTTACGAGCAACCTCACAAGCAGAATACGGTTTACAGGCAGTTTATTGCGCCGGTTCTGCAATCATTCTTTTATACAAATCACTCTCATTTACCAATTTGCGAAGTGCACAATTACGTCGAGACTTGGTTCGACGTCGATTACGATTCTTTGTTGAAGCTTTATTGATGACTTTCATTCCACCTTTTGTTTTCAGTATCGCGGCAGCAAGCGTTTTGGATTGTCCGGCAACGAAATATTGTTATTACAGAGAAATGGCAGGAAGTGTGGTTAATACGTCTGTCTTGTTTGGTTTATTGGCGACTACATGGTCAAGCATTCGTGTAAAGCATGATAGCGAAATATCATCTTTAAGTTGCAAATCGAAATATGACACATCCGCTTTTAACTATGACGATGAAAGTGGGCAATTTGCTAGCGAGTTGGATACAATCAGTACTCGATTCGGATCAAAAGCAAAAATGCAACAAACGACAAGCAAGAAAAGTCAGCAACAAAAAGGTAAAGATGACTCATTTCATTTACCCGAACCCAAAGATGAACGTATTTACGATCTCACTCCAACATTTCGTGAACACAACAATACCCTTCATCAAAGACAATCCTCTATTGTGCACAACTATCAATCGGAATCCGTTGTAGATATGATTGATTCGTCCATCCTTCATCAACAATTAAGTGTTAGTCAATTCTTATCAACTTCTAGTCAAACACCTTTTCATGATCATGATTCGGATATCGATCATCAATTCTCATGGACAAATGACAAAGAAGGAACTTCAACCGATGTCAAAGTTCGACAAGTGGTTGCACGTGCTTTGTAGGGCTTCTTTTTGTAAGGACTTTCTCGATGGAGTGGGTTCAAAATGTTCATTTTATCACAAGACAGACCTGAGAGAGGATCGATCGAAAGAAAGGAGATGTGTACATGGTTATGTATATTTATATCTATACATGATGAAATGAATTGGTGGCAACTCTTTCTGTTGGTGATGATCGGAAGTGATACAAATAGAGTCTTTTGTGTGTTACGTTTTGTAGTCTCCAGGCACTGCTTTCTGAATAATAATAATAAATTTGTGAGGTAGAGAAAGGTGGGTAGAATTTACATGTGATATGAGACTATTTATAAT